GTTCCATTCTAACCAGGCAAGACCATAAGCCCTTGAGGGCGGATTCTATCTGAGGGCTCAATTCCCGAACTCTCAGGCAGAACCTCCGACAGTCCCTCCATGAATGAAGCAGCCAGTAGAGACGCTAGGGGAAAGCCTATCTCAAACAAACACGAGTCTAATGAGAGCGAAGAGGAAAGGGGATGAGAGGTGTCCCTGCTGCATGCACACTGGCAGCCCGGGGCTCTGGGTCACAGGGAAGATAGCACACCATCTGTTCTAAAGTACAAGCCACAGCTGGAAAGGCCACTGGGAAAATAACCCCAGGGCACCGTGCAGAGAGAGGGCACAGCCCCGCCTGGGCTCGGTTTGCTGGAATCAGAAGAGGTCTGTCTTCACTTCTTGCAAAGGGGAGGAGGTACCTGCCTGCTGCGGCATCTTCACAGATTACTGTATTCATTTCTGTGTCCTGCCGTTACTTGTTTTCCTCATTTGATGAACATCAATCACCGGTCATGCACCACCTCCAGGCAAGGTCCCAGGGACATGGAGAGGTAAACCTGGTTTCTTCCCTAAAAGCTCCCCAACTTGGTGCACTGTTTTTCTTTTTAAAATGGAAATTTAAAAAATGAGTTATATCTGGGGCCAGTAGGAGGCATGGAGGTTAAAGCACCAGATCCCAGATCCCATGGCTGACCTCACAGTTCAAGTCCTTGACCCAGCAACTTGAAAATCACACTGGGCATGTGTGTGCCCAAGATCCTGAGAGACAAAAGGAGAAGAAAGAATTGTTGTGTGGGGTGATTGCTCACTCCTCCTACCTCTGACAAGCACACACACCCTTATAGCAATTAAAAAAATAATAAAACAAATGCTATTTCTGGACCGTAGGTAGTATGGAACAAAGTTATATAGTAAAATTAGTAACTGCGTTCACTCTAGATTTTCCATTTTTCTTGGATTCCTCCTTAGATTTCAATGTGGAAAGATCTGTTGCTATCCTTAACTGATAGGTAGGGCTTGCAACAGAATTCTGCGAAATCCATCAGTAAACTCGCTAGCCCAAGGGCGGCCCATTCCATCTTCAAACACCTGAGACCTTACAGAAACAAACAAAAAGGGATTCGCTGACATTTACCAAAGGCTCTCTGTACAACAGGCGCTGTGCAGACTTTTTGTTCCTTTAATCTCCACGACAATCCGGTGAGACAGGTGTTATTATGGTACCCACTTTGCAGATGAGAAAACTGAGGCTCAGAGCACATAAACAACATGCCCATCTTCAGTTCTCAGCAGCAGAGCAGGGATTTAAACCTAAGCTGACCCACTGCTGCATACCAAGCTCCATCCAGGAGCTCCTGAAATGTCAACCCTGAAGCCCCTCCCTACAGCTGGGAAAATAGGAGGATGACTGGGCAGCTCCCATTTTGCTTCTGAGCCTCCAGGATGAAACAACCCATGTGACCCTGACTTCTAGCCACTGCTCTGTCCCCACCCCGATCTCTCTTTAACCTCTGTGTCTGTCCTGAAGCAGGCACCAGGAGCTGGGCAGTCTACGCCAGGTGGGGTCTCTCCAGCAGAGGGCTGAGTGGTTCCCCCATGCCCCTCCCAGCTGTGGACATGCAGTCTGAGGCTGCTATGACTCTGACAGCTGTGCTCACACTAGTGGTCTCAGGCGCCAGGCCCTACAGTAAGCTTGGGGTCAAGTGAGACCCCCTCCCCAAGTCTCTTCTGCTTCCAACACACAGTACTCTTCAGCTCTGTCTCTACCACCCTGGACTTGGGCTGTTTGATTTAGTTACTAGCTCCTCTTGGATTCAGGCAAACATTCCAACCTGTTAAGGTTCTTTGGCGCCTGGTCCTGCCATCCAATGTGTTTCATGATTTCTAAAACTCCTACAAGCCTGCTAGTTAAACCTTATCCAAGTTTCCAACAAAAAGATCAGAGAACACAGACCTGTGACCCATTGCTGGAGACTACTGGAATAAGCTCAGTCTCAGAGAAGCTTACCCGGGAGACTGATTCACAGAACCGTGCTCCCATGCTGCTGGCTTTTCTCTTGATTCGAGGTAGAGGGCGACCCAGAGCAACAAAATAGAAAGATACTTAGTCCTTGTGTTGGAACCCTTATATATAACAAAGTAGAACATCTTCTGAGAAAAACAAACAAATAAAAAATCCTCTTATTTTTAGAGTAGAGCGGAATTCGGGTGAGCGGTCATTGAGTCTTGGCTCTGCCATGAATTGGCTGAGGGTCCTCGGACCAGCCTTTCACCTGTCTAGGCCTCTATTTCCTCACCTGTAAAATGGAATAACTATAGCTGTTCTTTGTGGTTCTTGAAAAGATGAAATGAGGTAAGGTATAAGAGGGGACTTTGTCACCTGTCACACACCGGCCAACGGTGAAGTACTCAGGGTAGGTATTGACTACTCGATGGTTCTAGACTTAAGACGCTGTGCTCTGCTCATAGGGTGGAGGTGGGGAGTCACCCCATTCTCACCCTCGTATCTGGCATTTCTCAGTGCAGTGCACACGCAGAGCTCCTTTAGGTCTAGCCAGGTTGAGTTAGAATTAGCTGGTGGGGCTTAGACAGTGGGTTAGATGGCGGGTGTGGTAAATCAACGTCCCCAGTTCCTCCAATGACTGCACTGTCTGAGCCCCAGAGGGTTAGTTCCTGGAGAAGAGGAAAGGACAATATTTCTGCTTCCTAGACTGATCCAACGAGCCCCTGCACAGCCCAGTGAGAAGGAGTCTGAGAAAAAGCTTCATAAACCATCCCAAAGACACCAAGGACAAGACTGTGTACTTACACAACAGAACACTTTTGCTGCCATGTTCTGGTCAAACTGGCCAAGGATGATCCGCACGTCGTTCCCCTGTGGACAGAAGGACACATGTGTGAAGGCGAATGGGTGATGGGTGCCCACAGGGGGCTCCAGGCAAAGGGCAGAGCACCTTTCTGGACTCCAGGTTTCTAGCCCAGAGCTCTGCCTGGGCAGGTGGGCAGAGTAGAACCTCCCCTACTCCAGCCCAGTCTGGGTTCTCTGGCTTCTTGGAACCAGCTTTCCCTCAGCTCCTGCCTGGGCCCTGCTGGTGTGGCAGACAAGCCCTGGGGCACACCCGCGCAAGTTGCAGACTAAAGTTGAGGACTCCAAGGGCCCTGGAGTCTTCCCTGCTCTCCTCCAACAAGAACAGGCATGCTGGGAGGGCGCCAGAACGCCGCCTGTCCTTTATCACTTTACATCTGGGGAAACTGAGGCCAGAGGAAGGACGCATGGGGAGCTGTGGACGCGTGGGAGAGCTAAGACCCCAGCCAAACAATCTCCTTCCCACAGTATTCTAGGCCTTTCTACCTTCTTGACAGCCCCTCAACACATTCCTAGAATTCCCAAAGCCTCCCAATTGAGATGTTTCAGAGTCTCTGCGAGCTGCGTTCAAATCTCAGAGGCACTAACAAGCCTCAGGCAGCCTCAGCTGCTTTTCCCATTTCAGCCTCAACTGTCATCTGCAAAATGGGGATAATGGTAGTGCCTTCCAGACACGATTTCTGGGAGACCTTCATGTGAGGGTCTTATAAAGTGCTTCACATGGTGTCTAACACATAGTAAGTGTGCAAAACTTGCCAGCTCACGTCAGTACTGTTTCTAAGTTTCTTTCTTCCAGGAGAAAGACACACAGAAAAAAAGAAACAGAGAGATAGCTCCTCTAATGCGGTTGTTGGGCTTCCTTCCCTCACTGCCCCCCAGCATCAGCCAGCCCAGATCATGGGCAGACACGTGACAGGTGCTTTCAGGAAAGGTTCAGGATACGAACTCTTTCCATGTGAGTCCTGCATCAGAGAGAGTTTCATTCCCACTGCGCCTCTGGCTGGCTCCAGCATTAGCATCTTGTAACTCCCCTGGCCCATCTTCACTTCTAAGAAAAATTCTATTGCAAAGCTCTACAAATGAGATGACTTCCTTATCTCAATGTGGTTAATAGGTGTTTACTGTGACTCATTCATTCACTTGGCAAACATTTACTGGGTGTCTGCCTGAGGATCCTCCCTGGGTCGGGGAGTCGGACCCCGTTGCTTTCTAGGGGACTGGGATCCAGGTAGGACCCTGCCATATGGAGACCAGCTGAAGGCAGACACCAGGAGGCCAGATGGGGCCTGGCCACACACCTGCTTCCACCCCAGCTTCCTATATTCGTCCATCCTCTCCAGCAGGCCTCAAGGCCTTTTGATGCATAAAGAAGAGAAACATGCCTTTAAAGATCAATTTTTAGCATCTTTCAAAATTGGAAAGTGCTGACTGGGAGGCCATTTTACTCATCATGTACTTTAGCAAAATAAAAAAGGCCTGGATTCTAAAATCATCCTTCGTTTGCAGGCGAGAATGGAAAGAAGAAGGGAAAAAAACTCTTGCTCTGAAAAGACTCTAAAAGATGGTTAACAGAACAGTTGAAGGAAGGCGAGCCTTTGTCATCACCACGTCTGCAATGCTATAAAAAGTTCTAAGCTGCTTCCGTTCCATGGACATGCTCCCAGATGCACTCCAGGGTCTTTCTGCTTGTTCGTTGAAATCTTTGAGCATTTCTTGCTGCTAATAGTATCCATCCATCCATTATCCCTCCATCCATTTATCCGCCCATCAAACATTTACTGAGCATCTACTTTGTGCCAAACCCTGCGTTGCTAAACGTGGGACAATGGAAACCATTTGTTGGAATTTTGGAATCAGAGAGATCTAGGCTCAGATCCTAGCTAGTCGGTGGACTATCTATATACCCTGGGTCCAGGAGCCTCGATCTCTTCATCTCTGAAATGGGGTAATCCTACTTTCTTTGCCCAGTGGTTGGAGGCGTCATCATGACAAGACTTATCTGCTGCTTCCATTATGCTCGCTCCTGGTTCCTCTCCTACCTCCCAGGTCATTTCTGCTCAGACTCCTTGGCGTCAGCTCCCCCTGCTCCTCCCCAACCCTAAATGCTGGTGGTCTGCCCTCAGCTCTTTGCTTCCGTCATTCTCCCTGGATAACCTTACTAGGAGCTTGAATACAACTACCTCTGTATGTGTGGATTCCCAAATCTGCCCCCCTGACCCAGCCGTCCACTTGCCACCCGCAGGTGGCTTCTGCCAGGCACCTCCAGTGCAACATGTCCCGAGCGGGAGTCATCACCTTTCCCAACAAGCCCCTCCCCTGTGCTCTCAATCTCTGAGAATGGAGTTGCCAACCTCGTACCCAACCAAGTCAGGAACTTAGGAGTCATCTTAGACTCACTTTTCTTCCTCAACTCCCACAACCAAGTACTAACCAGAACCTGCTGGTCCTATGCTCACCAGCTCCCAAATCATCCCCATCTCCCCAGCCCCATGATGATGGATCTACTCGGTGAACAGCAACAGCTTCCCTCCTGGATCCCTGCCTCTAACCCTGCCCTCTCCCTGGTCTCTACTGAGCAGACAAAGGGATTACTCCCAAGACTCAAATGTGATGGTGTGAAATCTTTCCATGACTCCATGTGGTTTACACATCAACATCTGAGCCCCTTAGAACATTCTTGACTCCTCATCAGCTGATGGCTGCTCACTTCTTTATCATATGCCTCACTATCTCCATGACAGTGAAAATGAACTATCTGCAGGTCCCTATGTTAGGTCTGCTGTTCACTCATTCATTTGTCCATCTTCTCCCTCCCTCTTCTGCAAGCTCATCCATCTAGGAAGGTCTTCCCTGGCATCCTACCTGCTCACCTGGATAGCTGCGATTTACCTGTCCTGCCTTAGTTCAGGCAGCCCTACTCCGAGAAGTCACCTGTTTGTCCCAGCAGGTTTGTGGGGTATTTCCTCTTCAGTGAGCCCAGAGCATTCACTTCCCATTATTATGGCCAAGTCCACTTACTTGTCCAGCTTCCTCACTGGCTTGAAGGCAACTGGACTCATCTCTGGGTCCCCAGTTCCTAGCACAGGGCATGGCACACATGCTGATATCTACACGTTGAACATATGATGAAGTGAATGAGCGTGGTGTGCAGCACCAAGCACGTGGCCTGCCTACCTGGTTATTCTTTTTTTTTTTTTTGTAGAGGTTTTTCGCTATAGGGCACGTGTGCTCACCAGACAGACAGAGAGAGACATAGAGACAGAAAGCGAGAAATCACCTCCCAGGGGGGATGGTCACGCCGCAATCCCTTCTCCTCCATTCTCCTCTCGGGATCTTGGGCACGCACGCACACACGCCCGGCGTGAGTTTTAAGCCACCGGGTTCAGGACGCGAACCGTGGTTGACTATGTGGGAGTCCAGTGACATAGCCATTACGCTAACTGCTGGTTCCCCCTCCCTGATTATGCAGTAGCTGTGGCCATTACCCTCATAGCACTTATCCTGCTAGCCCGGGGGCCTGGACACTGAACTGGGTTCACTGTGTCCATTTCTCAAATAGGCCAAGGGACCCACATCTTCCTGACTGACTGCCTGACCACCTGCTGACAGATAAATAACCAGCTCTGCCACTTATGGACTGGGTAATGTCTCTGTTGCCATGACAACCAAGTTGCAAGGGCCGCTTAGTTTCATGCTCCCAGGCGGTCAGGTTTGGATGGGGCCCAGAACATCACCAATCTAGTTAACATTTCCTGAGAGAGACGAAAGGCTCTCCCAAGGGCTGAACAGTGCCCCAGAGCCAGAGCTCTCCCTGGTTATCAGAGGGCCTAGAGAAAGAAGTGATCCAGGCCTGGGTTGTGTCTGATGCAGAAAACGGTCACACCCACTCTGCTTCTAGATGCCACTCAGTCAGGGAGAATGGGGGAGGAACCAGCATTCAGTACCTAGATGGACCTAGAATTCAGTACCTAGATGGACCTAGAATCCAGGGAAGGGGGACTGGCTAAAGGGGGCAGGCCCGAGACAGGACCCTTGGAGGAAACCATGACAGCAGGATACACAGGTGCATCTTAAATGGGGGTAGGTGCATCTTAAACCAGGGTAGGTGTATTCAGGGCGTAAGGAGGCGCCCTGAGGGTGTGCAAGCACAAATGTACCTGGTTCTTCCTTCAGGAGTGGCATCTTATTGGAAGTTCAGGGATAGGGAGAAAGATTTGGGATTTGGAGAATCTTAACAGTTTTGACACACTTGTGCATGCTCACACAAAAGTCTTAGATTCACACTTTTTAGTGTTGCGTAACTTGTATCTTTTCCTGATAGTCTAGAGAGTGGGAAGAGAACTTTCAGGTTAGCAGTAGCCCCTGATTTTGCCAAGCCTCGCCTCCCTTCCAGGGAGCATAGGCTCCTAGCCTGAAAGGGTTGGGGCAGTTTAAGGAGAACCACAGAGGAGAGAGGGAGGGAGGGAAGGAGAGGCACGGAATGGCCCTGAGGATGAGAGTGTCAGAACAGAGCTGGAATGTTACAGAGAACAGAATGCAGCAGAAGGCAGGGTCTCGAAAAACTCTTTCATGGACTTAGCTAGGCAGGGGGCCACCTAGAATGAAAGCAGATGACATGAGGTTGGACAAATGACAGCGTCTTTTCAGATGGTGAAGTCTAGGGTGTAGACTGTTGATGGAGACCTGTGTTCACACCCTCAAGAAGCCATTGACACAAGGATGGGCAAAAAGCAGGAAGGAACAGCTATGGAGTTGAGGTGTGGGATAGAGGGGGGTGGGTGGTGCTCAGCCCAAACACCCCATCACAGAGCAGGACGTGTGAAACAGAAGACCCACTAACCTCTCTCTGGAGAGGAGCCCAACACTGTCCAAACCAACCCTGGATAGATTTCTTCTCGTTCTTGGTCCCCTCTCATTCACTATCAAGAACCACTTTGTTTCTGGGATGCCTAAAGAGAGCTGAAAATCACACACACACACACACACACACACACACACACTTGAGGATG